CAGGTGTTCTGTGGCATTAGCACATTTTTTTCAAACTTTGTTTTGACTGTGACCTTAAGTAAGAAATACTTTTTGCCATACCCCAGCAGGTACATGTTGGCACATATAACGTAACAGACAGATATATATAACTTAATGTGCATAACACACAGGAATATCACAGAGCAATACTTAACTTCACTGGAGGCAATACACTGGTATTTTGCTCTACTATTTTCTGTGCTATTCTATTTTTAAATGCTAGTCACAACCCACTAAATCGATTTTATGATCTCCTGACAGGTTGTGACCTGCAGTTTGGAAAACACTGCATTAATAAACACAATAATTGCAGTTTTAATTAATAGTGAGCTATTTGAAAGTTGTTCATCATCTTGCAGAGGTGGGCATTTGGCACCTCAGTCACGTGTAATCTTGGGCAAGCCCCCTAACTTTCTGATACCTCACTCTTCCTCCCTGTAAAAATATAAAATCAATTTTCTAAGTGAAAATTAATAATAATAGCAAGTATTTGCAGGCCCTCCACATGGCTTCTCTCTCTTCAATCATAACAAGAATCCTATGAAGAAAGCATTACTGTTCTTTCCATTTTACAGGTGGAGACACTGAGGCCTGCAGAGTTAGGTCCCTTGCCCAGGGTTGCAAAGGAAATGGCAAACTGGTCTGTGAACCCCATGGCTTGAATCCAGTACCCAGGTGCTTACCTGGTCTGCCAGCTTCCTGAGAGGGTGGGGCGAGCGTGAACGAGATAAAGCAGGTGGCAGGGTGACCTGCACAGTCTTGGTGCAGAGTGGGTGAGGGTGTCCCCCATTCTCAGGGTGACTTGTGCTAGTTAGTTGGTTCCTATCTGTCTCATCTCTTTCTTTGTACATTTCTTGGGAACAGGGACTATTGCCATGTCCTCTTCCAACCATGTTGTCTGACAAGGTCTGGGCATGGAGGAGTCAAGTTCAAGGAATTTGTCTCCCTGGAGGAGAACGTAGCATCCAAAATGGGTTAACAGTTGACTGTTTTATTTTAATTATTTTACTATTGCTACTGAATATAGCCATTGTACTGTACTTACTTATTCCTGTAAAAAATCACCCAAGAGGAAGGGACAGTTCAGGGGAAAACATTAGTCTTCCCCACGGAACTCCCTGAAAGGATGGAAAAATCCCCACAGGTTCCCCTCTCCCTTATACAGGGGAGTACGACAGCCAGGGTGATATAATTATTAACCATAAGGGAAAACATGTCAAGTTGTATAAATTACCCTGGTTTGAGCAACTTAAAGTGATCAGGACTGCATGGTGTACCAGAAATAAGAAAAACAAGTTAAATCTCTTAAATCAACAGGTAAGGCCAGTTAATGAAGAACCAGGTTATTGTTACAAACACAGGTTGTGCTGCCAACAGTTGAGGGATTGGAAGAACAGATTAGAAAGACTTTCCCATGACTGTTCCTTACCCACAGATACAAAGGGTCTTCCAAGAAGACAAGTAAAAACTATATAGACCCCTACCCACAGCCAGGGATACGGTCGGGACGGTTGAGATGCATCTGCAAGGCAGAGGCAACTGTGGCTGAATTTCCTGTTTATCTCTCCTTATATGTTTGTTTGGGTGATAAAAAGGTGGTGGGATTGTTAGACACCTGTATTTCAGGTTCATTGATTCACATAATTCCAATGAAGTTGTACAAAATAGTTTCTTGACCAGAGAACAAAATCCCCTCTAATGAAATAGCTCCTGAATGTCTAAAAGTTGTTGGAGTAACAGCCCCTCCTTTACCTTGAAGAGGAATATATATTAATTAGAATTAAGCAGGCAAAGAAACAGGAAAACTTGTTAGATACCACAAACTAAACATGTAGAAACAATTGCCAAGGAGTAGAGTCCATAGTACATAGAGAAACATTTTGGACAGAAAGATAGAAAGCTAAGTTAGACATCACAAAGGCCTTATAATGAATTTCCTAACCTCTGCTCGGTCTAGCGTACCTTTTGCCCCATGCCAAATTCTGAGAAACTTTAATATAACAATAAGACATTCAAACTCTGTACATAGAGCTATTTCAAATTGTCTGATTAATGGCTCTCCTGGTCAAAACAATTTTTGTTTAACATAACTGAAACTATGGAAATTCTTGTATATTTCCTCGTTACCTTTGTATTGATTTTCTCTGCTTAACTGATCATGCTATACTGCAAATGTTAATCACTATCTAAAATGAAAATATAAAAACCTGCTTGGACTTGTAGTAAACAGAACAGAGCTTCACTGTCCTTTGAGGTGTGTTGTCGTCTGTTACCCATCGCCAACGCCTTACCCACCTTTAGGAATCCCTGGACCCTGCTGCGGGTCTTATTCATCCCTTTTCCCTGTGTGACAAAAAAATAGAACGGGATGGAGGGTGCCCACGAGCCTTTGTGTCAAAAACAGCTACTATTTTTATGTCCATTAAATTCTCACTTTTTCCTTCAAGCTGCAGCGGCCCACCCAGAATTATCAGCTAGACAGTAGCCCTTACCCTGACTCACCACCTGATAAAAATGCAGTGAACATTGGCTGAAGAAATGGATGAATCATATACTACTTTTATCGCCTCTCACTTATTGTATTTTTCCAATTCCGTTGACATCCAGTCTCCCTGTGGCTTCTTTATATGCTTAGTTTTAGGAGTTCTGTTCAGCTTACCTTCAAACGATTCTCCAGGTTGTTTGTTGTATAATTTTGATGTGGCCCCAGAAGGAGGCAAGCACAGCAGTCGCCCACCCTGCCATCTTGACCGGAAGTCTATCACCGCTCACTTCAGATGCTTAGTCTGGCCACCCTACCTGGGCAGCGTGTGCTATGAGAGTAGGGACCATTTCTTTTCTTTCTCCTGCCCATGACATTGAGTCAGCTCCAGGGGGGACCAGAGGACCAGGGCGGGCAGGTGTGTAGCGACCCAGTCGTGGTCCCAGTACTGTTTGTGTTTCCCAGGTGTATGTGAGACCCCTAGCACCGGGCCTTCCCCTTGTGTCCTGCCACCAGGAGAATCTGCGGTGCTTCTGGCTTGGCGACTGAGGCCTGGGCAGCCAAGAGAGCCGAGGTGCACTGTGGCCCACTCACCGTGGTGTTGTTTGCAAAGTGTTAATTTTTGTTTTTTTCACCTGCGTAAAATGTCCATGTGCTTTAAAAAATTTCTTTGTTAATTATTCTGTAATTTGGAAATATTACATGCCTTTTTAAGTGTAGTAACATATGCACAACATAAAATTTACCATTTTAACTATTTTTAAGGGTACAAGTCAGTGACTACTACCCATTTTCAGAACTTTCCATCACCCCAAACAGAAATTCTGGACCCATCAGACAACTCCCCTGTTCTTCCCTCCACCCAGAATCACTCTCCGTCTCTGTGAATTTTTTTTAAAGATTTTATTTATTTATCTTTAGAGGGGAAGGGAAGGAGAGAGGGAGAGAAACATCAATGTATGGTTGCCTTTCATGCATCCCCTGCTGGGAACTGGCCTGCAGGGAACCGGCCTGCAACCCTGGTATGTGCCCTGACTGGGAATCGAACCTCAATTGTCTGGTTTGCAGGCCCGTGCTCAATCCACTGAGCTACACCAGCCAGGGCTTGTCTCTGTGAATTTGCCCATTCTAGTACCTCAGACAAGTGGAATCACACCCTTGTCCTTTTGTGACTAGCTTATTTCACATAACATTGGGTGTTCAAGTTTCATCCACGGTGTAGCATGCACCAGAACTTCGTTCTTTTGAAGACTGAATACTATTCTATTGTATATGGAGACCACATTTTATGTATTTGTTATTTTGTTTATCCATTCTTCTCCTGATGGACATCTGTGTTATTTCTACCTTTTGACTATTTTGAGTAATGCTTACATCAGTGTTTTTACCCCCCAAAAAGCAAATTTATGACAAGGAAACATAAATATATTGGATTTTGCTACATAGTTCCAGGTAACACACAGAATATAAAAAAACTATACTAAGAAGCAAAAATAGAAACAAACCATAAAAAACAAGACATACTTGAAATTCAAAGGATGAATAGCACTGCTTTAATTAGCAGAATCCAGCAAGTGTTTGATTAAGGCCCAGGATGAGCCAGGCACCCGTCTGGGTTTCCAAGCATCCTGGAGGGTCCTCTCCAACAGTGGAGAGGCCCAGGCAGGTGACTTACCCTGCAGGCAGATGTGCTGCTGCTACAGGCGAGGCACGGCAAGGTCTCCAGGCCTCCAGAGGCAGGGACGGACCCCGGGAGGGGGCCCTACGGAGGCGGCAGGTTTTGGCCCAGTGAGAGTAGGGGTGAAGGAGGTGTTGACTATGGCATCTTCCGAGCTCTGCTCTTTCTTTGCTAAAACCAGCTCGTATTTGTTCTTAGGCCTCTTCTGAGGCCTTGGGTTTCTCTAGTTCACATTAATCATTGAACTATTAAGCAGTCTTAATCCTGCATTTAAACAACCTTGTTAGTCCAAGTTGCTCTGCCCCAGCAAGTGCGAAGGATTTGCCTGGCCTGGTTCTTTTGTGTATCTCGGGGCAACCACGCTCTGAGCAGCTTCTGGAAGAGCTGCTTCCTTTTGGGCGATGGGAGCACAGCTCTCAGTCCCCTGCTGCCCACCGGGTGGAGGCAGACTGGGGCTCACACCACCTGCCCAGGGGCAGCACAGGCTGCAGGGGAAAGCGGGCAGTCCCGGCCCTTCCCTCCTGGTGCAACCCTGGGGAAGTGACTCCACCCCTCTGACCCTCCTGTGCAATGTGAGGGGATTGGATGACCTCTGAGGCTCTCTCCAGATCTACAATTTAATGATGGCCCGTGTTATGATTTAACCACTTCCCTCCAGCACTCTGGGAGTGACTCAGCAGTCTGATAGTTTGGCTGTTGTTTTTAAGAAAGCCTGATTATTTTGTCGTCACAAGTATATGTTCCATAAACAATCTGGGTCTTGATCCAGCTGGAGTCTGGCTGAGAGTGACTGGACTTCTTCACTCTGTCCTCTTCCAGGGACGCAGCCCCGGCACCCACTGGCCAGAGCATCCCCAGGGCCATGTCAGAACTTTGAGTGAAGCCCGGTGACAGGGAGTGGCTGCCACCCACCTGCCTCCCCAACAGGGCTTCAAGATGCTGAGCCTGAAGCTCCCCAGGGTGTTCAGCATCGACCAGATGCCCCAGGTAGGTGCTCTCACTCCAGTGGTTGATCTCCAGGTGGTGACGAGGATATGGCTTCTGCAACAGGGTGACTGCGCTCACTGTCTTCAGCCAGTCTGTTTCTTCAAGGAGTTCCCCCCCAAACTCCGCGGGGGATGAGAGCTTCCTATTCTCCACTTACACCAAATCTGGAATGGAAATGCTTTTGTAACTATTTACAATATAGCCCTTCCCTGTGACATCTGTATTTTATCCTGAAGTAAACTCATTGAGACTTCAGGTTCGAGCTGAAGCGATGGCGCCAGCACCATCTAACTGGGTAGAGCTTTATTTTTAGGGCCCTCCCATGGGTACTTAGACTAGAGGTGAGGACACCCCAGGATATACTTTGGTGTTGTCCCCCATCTCTTGCAGGAGGCCCAGGCCAGGCAGGGGTCAAGGTGATGAGCAGGTTCTGAGTGAACCTGAGCCCTGCCCCTGGTCTCCTGGGCCTGGGAACTCAAGGGAAGTCATCTCAGAATGCCTGACAATCATTGGCAGTCTGTACTTTAAATAAGCCTTAGATAAGGCCAGTCTTCTTGTGAGCTGTGCTCTGGCCAACTGGTACAAGCCCTTTTTCCCTTGCAAAGAGAACATCATTTCATGATACCCTTGTTTTGCGGTCCAATTTCCTTGCATTTGACTGGAGAAGTGTTATTGCAGAGTGGGACGTTTCATCTGGAGGGCGTCCCAGAGGGAGGGAGAGCTCCTTTGCATTCACTTGACTACCAAGCGCTTACAACATTCCTCTGCAGCATGAGTGGAAAATAAAGAGGAGGTACACTGTCAGATGTTCTTCCTAAAAGCCAGGGAAGTGAGGTGATTCCAGCAAGATGACATCCAGGAGAAACTGGGGATGTTGGAGAGCTGTTCAGTAGGAAGAGATGAGGAATGCAGCAGGTAACAGACAAATTCAAAATGAGACTGGGTTCCCAGACTGTTGAGCAGAGCACCTGCCTCGGGTCTCATGGGGCTGTAAACTTGCCCTTCTAGTGCATGCGTTTCAGTGGTTGATTCTACCCACTGAGTACATGGCTGTGATTAGTGGGAAGACAGGGTGATGGTCACAAGCATTTTGTGACATAGTCTTTCCTATAAGCCAGCCTTCCATTCCAACTTGGGTCGTCTGGTCTGGGATGTAAGAACCAAAAGTGCAAACTGCCTTTACAACCACCAATCCTACAGGTGATACCAGCACCGAGAAATAACAGGGAGCCAACACAGGTGACTGTGCTATTCACTCAGATTTTATTAATGCAGATTTAATTCAAACCCATCTTAATCTAATAATAATAATAATAATTACTTAGATGCTATTAGCAATAACAGTTCACAAGAGGATTGGAGGATAATGAACCTGAGCCTCAAGTCTATGGGTCCGGGAGACAGCACGGTAGCCAGGGGGAGCCATCAGTAATGTTATACAAGGCGGAATCTCTGGAGCCGGGCTGGTGGCGAGGCAGATGAAGTCCTCGGTCCAGCAGGGCAGAGTCTCTGCAGCATGGCCATCAGGAGATCAGAACGGCATGGGGCAGCACCTCGGTGCTCAGCTGTCTCTGCAGTGGTGTGAAGTCCAATTTTACCTGAATATCTGGCACTCAAAGGAACTGGGAAATTCTGAGACTCGGAGCCACAAGTCCCCCAAGAGCCTGTCCGTAGGTGTGCCCTCTCTGCAGACATGTGTGTGTGTGTGTGTGGATATTTTGGGTGTACAGTCCTGGGAGGCATTTGGCAGGGTGGCTGGCATCACTTAGGTAGTTTCTTTCTTGAACCCAAGTGTCATGCTGACTGGCAGCCATCTTGGTTGACATGAGTGATGCTGTCTTATTTTACATATGTTATCCTGTCTTGACCAGACACCGTTTTATTGATCCTGCTCTCCACAGTGATTCTTTGATCCCATTCACTCATGAAATTTTTATTGACTGTCTACTATGTGCAAGGTATTACTCTATGCAGGGCTCAGAGAATAATCGCATACAAATCATGCCTTTACACAAGCACTCCCATTGCACAGTGGGCTAAGGTGTGTCCCAAGAGAGGAGAGACGGGTTCAGAGGAGGGATTGGGGCGCATCCCTCAGGGCGGAGGGAGGGGTGGGGGATGGTCCAGTGAAGAGGGCCACCTTTAAGATGGGTAGAATTGGGAGGTGGGGAGAGCCTTCCAGCTAGAAGGAACAGTGAGAGCAGAGATGGCGATGGGAACTCTCGGGGCGGGCGTCCTGGGTGCCTGCTCGCATGTCTTCCTGGGTGTTTTGGTCAAGGTCAGGTTCAGACTGTATGTGGGAAAGAAGTCGAGAGTGATCTCAATGGGCACTTTTGCTAACCTGCTGGAATTCTAAAGATGAGGACCAGAAAACCTCAGAGGGTTAAAGATGAATACATCTTCTCTGTCAAGTGTTTTTAAACGATGAAGATGACGGTATCCTTTTTACTAAAAGGGCACTAGTCGGAGGTGGAGAACCAACATCAGAACCTTCCTTGGGTGCCCACATCTGCTCCTGGGCTTCCCAGCATCACGCCCAAGGTTCCTGCTGCCGAGGAGAAAGCAAAGCGGCTCCATCCACCTGGAGGGTGGTTTTGTGGGAGGACTTGTTGGGGGAGGGGAAAGGCATTTTTTGATATTAAAACGGGTGCAAATATATTAAGGAGAAAAATGCACTAGTTGCATAAATATTTAAAATGGAGACTTCAGGCAAATGTTAGGCTTACTTTTGGTGGACTCTGTGGGCCCCAAGGTAGTCTGCAGAGTGATTTTGGACAATGTACTTAATCTGCCTGCCTCAGTTTCCCCATCTGTAAAATGGGAATAGTATCTGCTCCCTGGGATTGTGGTGAGGATTAAATGAAGGAAAGACATTACCTCTTGGCATCGTCAGTGTCATAATTCTGGCACATTCCTGGCTGATAGATTACTTACAGGAAAGGCCTGTTCCTCCCTTCCCTTAGAAGGTGGGACTCAGGTGTATGTCTCCAATTTTTAGTATCCCTCATGCCTAAAACCAGGCCTGGACATGTTAGCCAGTTATTAAAGATTTGAACAAACAGGTCCTGGCCAGTGTGGCTCAGTTGGAACATATCCTGTAAACCAAAAGGCCATGGGTTCGATTCCCAGTCAGGGCACATGCTGGGGTTGCAGGTTTGGTCCCCGTTCAGGGAGCATAAGAGAGGCAGGTTCATATGCTCCCTGAATAGGATTGATGTTTCTCTCTCAAATCATCGGTTCTCTCCCTTTCTCTCTCCCTCTCTCTAAAGCCAATAAGGTTGCCCTCGGGTGAGGATAGAAATAAGATTTGAATGAACAGCCAAGGGATGGAAACAATATCTAGTCATTGATTCCTACACAGATCTAATTTAGAGACAATACAGAAACAGCTAGATAGTAAGTTAATATGGAACATAGCATGACATTTTGACACGAAACAAGGGCATTTCGTGTCAAATTGAGAATCTTTTATTAACTCCAGCCTTGGCCGGCAAACTGCAGGTAAGCACATGACATTGTCCCAGATGCCTCAGTTCAGGGGCACAGGCAGGAGGCTTCCCTGAGGTGCTGTGCAAGAGATCATTTCCCAGCCTTGCTCTGCAGCTCTGCCGCTTACTGTGGGAACTCCAGCAAAACTGCCTGGGCAAACTCCCTAAGCCTCAGTTCTTATCTATAAAATGGAGATAGTATCTGGTAGGCCAGTCGCACAGGGCTATTGTGAAGATCCCAGAAGAGTCAAATAGAACAGTGGGATTATTATGAAAGAAAGGAGGCAGGGGCTGGTAAATGGCAGGGAGTGTTAGGTAGGTGGGCTTGGGCACCTGGGAGCAAGGAGCCACGGCAACAGGCAGCTGGTCTCTCCAGCCCCGGGTTCCTCACAGTGGGTGCCTGGCTCACCACCAGCAGAATCACCTGGGAGCTGACTGAAATACAAGGGCAGTCGTGATTGCGGTTATCCTGGTGGTGTTCTTGATTTTAATCAGAGGAAACGCTTTCAACATTTCATCATTTAATATAATGTGAGGTGTGTATGTGAATGATCTTTATCAAGTTAAGGATATTCTTCTCTATTCCTAATTTCCTAGGGTTTTCTTTTTACTTTAATTAGGAATGAAGTTTACAGAACTTTTTTTTCTATCAATGTATCTTTTGAGGTGGTCATGTTACAGAACAAGAGGTCTGGGGGGGCAATATTTGGCCCACCTAGGGACGCCAAAAACTGCTACAGAACAACAGGGGCCCCTCTCAAGGACAGAATACTAATATTTACTGGGCTCTTCTGTCCGCTGCCAATTGGAAAGACATCTCTCAGTGCCAGAGATTTGTGAAAAGGAAACAAAATGTTTTATTTAATGCTATTCAGGCCTAACACCTCCACTAAAATATCAAAGTCCTTTAGGTTGTACACCTACACCCACACAGCGCTCCCTTCTCCCACTGTCCCAACTCCGGGTACCGTAAATCAGGAAAAGAGCACACGTCTGTGTTGCAGGCCGCTGGTATTATCAGCTGTGTCAGGCAGGATCTCTCGTTAATCCAGAGTCATGTGGCACCCTCTCACGGTCCACTGGCAAGAGTTCTTTGTACCCAGTTCCAGTCAAAGTCTCTCCTGCTTTTCAGGCCACGCAGCCAAAGGGGGCACCCCAAAGCCGCGTGGGCCTCTTCTACCAAAGCTGCAGGGGTCAGCACTCTGACCAAAAGTGCGTGGCTCTCTCTCCTCTTCACCGCGGCAAGAGGGGGTCTTAACTCAGCTGAGACTGCGTGGCTCTTTTCACAATGGCTGCCGCGTCTGTGTTTAAATCTCTGCGCCCATCCTCCTTTACAGCCCCATTTCCAACTCTTCCTACAATCAGTTACACCTGCCAGGACTCCTGTATCCTCCCAGCTTTACTGGGCTGTCATTATTAGTCTGGGCAGGTATGGCCCCATGGCGTGGAGCCAGTCGTCTCCAAGCTCTCACACAGGTGCTGTAACTCAGGGGACCAGCCCCCAGTTACATC